GGGGGGGGAGGGGAACGGGGCCCGGTACACTCTTTTCATGGGGCGCGCACCAGGAACAGTTGCGACACAGTCATGTCGTCATTGGGCAGGAAGCTATTGACGAAGATATACTGTGTGCGAGGGGGAGTAGAGGCAAGGAACCAAAGAGGCACGGCAGAGGGGCGTCAGTGCTGGTCGCGGGTGGGGAAGGGGGCCGGTGCCTGGGGCCGGGCAGGCAAGCATCTGGGACATGGGAAGAGGCGGCCAAGCGCACCGGCGGGTTGTTGAGATCGATGTCGATTGGCACGATTACATCGTTCGGGTCCTTGCTCTTGAGCTTCTTCAGGTTGTTCTTGATGAGACGCTGCAGCTGGATGCGAACCTGGTACACGGTCAGATGCGAGCTCAGCAGGTAGCTGTTTTTGAGTGTGCTCTGCAGGATGCTCTCCTTCATGACCAGGGTCAGCTTGATGTCGGCAGCGGGCTCGGCCGGCTCGCGCGCTGTTGGAAAGGGCACCAAACCAGGGGGAGGGAGGGGGGCGGGGAGGGAGGAGGGAAAGCAAGCAACAAGGATAGGAGGGGAAGATCAGGGGGTCAGCAAGTCATAGAGGGACACCGCCGGGAGGGAGGGAGGGAGGCACCGGGTGCGACAGAGAGGGGACGCACAGTCCGACGATGTCTGGGGCGAGGACATGATCGTGGGAGGGGTGTAGGAGGGGGAGAGGCTGGTCTGTGTGTAGTGCGCAAAAGGAGAGAGGGGATGAGGATCGGCGGGGGAGGGGGGGGGGGGGGGGGGGGGAGGGCTCTGGCTGACGACCAACCGGGGGACGGCGGGCCAGGGCGCCAGGGTGGCTGGAATATGCCCTGGTCTCGGTCTTGCTGCCATCTTGTCCCTGGCCGCTTGTCTGCGCGAGGTTCACTTCTCTCGCCCCCCCCCCCCCCCCTGCCTGAACGGAGCCAGGTGCGGGCGAGGCCGCCCGAGCCTGCCCCCGCAAGAGAAAGCAACAAGCCCGGAAGGAGTGGGGGCCCAGCATCGAGCAGCAATCGCTGGTCGGTCACGTGCGAGAAGATCACACCAGACGTCGTTTCGTCCGCGGTGCTGGCGCCGAAGATTCCCTGGGCATCTCTCCGCGGCCCTTGGCTGGCACTTGCGCCAATTTCCCCGGGCTCTAGCGCGAGGTGCGGGCGTGTTTATGTGCGCGTGCTCGCCATCAGCGCCTCTCGCGCAACAGGCTCCGACCCCTTCTCGCCAGCTTGGACCGTGGGGCGGCGGGAGCGAGGCATGAATACCGGGCAATGTCCTTTGGCGAGCAGACGCGCACACGCACACACGTCGGAGAGCGCGCACCCAGGACCGGACCGTGAGCTGGCGGGAGGGCCGCTGCCCCTGGAGCAGGTCCCGACCGTCGGGCTGTGCTTGGGTGCCCGAGAGAAGGTCCCCGCAGGGGCGGGGAGGGGGGTTTTGGGCCGCCCTTGCCTCCGGACGCCGATCTCCCCCGGCCTTTGGCATCCATCTCCCCGACCCGGGTCCTCTCCTTCACCCCCCTTCCCGCTTCCCTTTCGGGTCCTCCCCTGCCCCGCCCCCTCCTTGTTCCCTGTATTCGCCTTCGCCTTCCTCTTCTCCTTCTCCTCCTCCCCCTCAGATGTTCAACTCCAGCTCGATCGTGTGCTCTGGCCACACCCGCCCGGTAGTGGCCCTGGCCTTCAGTGATATCCTCACTGAGCTCCCCGGGCAGGATAGCGCTTCGGCCGGCAGCGATATCTCGCAGCCCTCCTTCAAGGATGCCGAGTATGGTTTGATCACCGCCTCCAAAGGTATGCCCGGGCTCGGGGCCGATCGCCCCCCTTTCCCCTTGCCTGTGCCACATGCACATGCCCCCCTTCGTCCCTTCTCTCTCTCTCTCTC